GAAGGTTATTAAATACAACGTTTAATTGTTTTATTTTAATTAAACTACAAATGTTGGCAAACTACAATCGACAATATAATTGTAAAAAAAGTTTTATGCATAACTATCGTAATGAGTTTTTAATTTCCATAAAATTTTTTTTTAATTTTAACGATGTTTTCGGACATTTCAATTAAATTATATAATTATATTATTATGTCTATCTTGATAATACAGTTAATTCAAGTATTTAATTTAAATTTTTTCAAAACGTATCATTAGGTACACGTTATGTAAATAATATTATAAAACGATTTAGAAAACTATAAATCATATCATAAATTCATAACATTGATTGTATCAATTTATCGTATGTTTTTATCATGTCATTCTTATATATTATTTAAAAGTATAATATTAGTAAAATAGACACTTAAAATGAAAATGTTTCATTGTGAAATACACATTTATCTATTGTATAGCATTGAATACGATGTGTTTCTAGTGCTAGATAATGCAGCACATAACGAAAGTCAAAAATATCGTTTTGAGATTCAAAAATGTTACATTGTATATATATTTAATTCGTTCTTTTGTCAATTAAATTTACATATTATAATATTTTCGAAATATCTTTTTTGTGTCTTCTTCTTCTTCTTTATAATATTATAAAATGATTAGTTAGTTGTACATAGTATATACTTCCTATACAACTAAATAAATGCAAACAAAACACAACACCTTTTAGCTATTTTTTATCCTTAACGATAAATACGTATTTAATAATCGTGGTGCTCTGTTTTTAATTACTGCCAACATAGACTTTATCGTGAAGTCTTTTATTTTATCGAAGGATAATTATGAATATTAATAATTACTTTATACTAAAAATTAATAATGATATAATTTGTGTTTAATATTAGTGTTATTTTAATAATGTATATATTTATTTATTTTGAACTGACTCTGCTCACTTTAAAAAATAACTGAATACAAAATACAAAAATATCATTTTTTTGCATACATTAATAAAATATGTTGATGTTATGAAAACTTTAGTGCAGGCCTGAATACAATAGAGTAGGGGAAGAGCCTACAGGCTATGGAACCCTCTCCCTAAAAAAAATCCATAGTAATTGCATAATATTTTGGAACTATTTTTGTATATTCTTTCACGTGAAGTTTATACGTAACATTGCATGTATAATAGACCCTCCAAATGGACCCCTTCAATTGAAATTGTTGATCCACATCTGTGGTGGTCTGTATGGAGTGCATAATTTAATATAATTTTAAACATAATAATATTTAATACATCCCCTGTAGAAATTATTGCATTTGGCATGGTATACGTGCATATAAATAATAAATGAATTACAATCTACTCATATAATTATACACAATAAGAATAAACATAATTATCAATGATGAATGTTTTTGTTTAATTTCCAATCGCTTAATAGAATAACATTTATGATCCCTGAAAAACATAGTAAAAGATTCAATTGTAAAAAACTTAATGTTAAATTCAACATGAAACATTGTTATTTGTATAATATCAAATTCTAACATAGGTACAATTATAAGTTATAACTGTATTACGTACGTCCAAAAATAAAATATATATAAAAGTTATAATTTTTTTTATAAATGTTAGTAGTTCTTATGAAAAAATAAATTGAATTCTCATATTAAGTTACAGATAATTTATTTTAACTTAATTTTAAATTTAAATACAGTTGTTGAACCTGTAGTAATGGTAATATTTTGAAGTTTGATTGTTCATAGTAACTATTAATTAGAAAATTTATGAATTATACACTTGTCATACAAAACTAAAATAAATAATTCACAATTATTTATAAAATGAGTAAAAAAAAACCTATTCGTCACTGCAAATTAAGTTATTTATTCATATGGCAGCAAAACCTGCCATTTGTCGACTCCTTTGATATTTGTACATGTATTTTATTATTATTTATTTTTATAGAATGTGCCTTTAAAATATGAACATAAATAATATATCATGTTTTCATGCATAGCACGTTAAAACTATTTTCGTGGATAACGTAATTTATAAAAAATAAAAATGAAATAATAGGGCTTATTAATTTTGTAATTTTTTGTTCAAATATATGTAATACTGTATTTGTAATCATTTCCAATAATTATTAAATCGTAATAGTACAAAATCACAAATGATGAAAACGCATTTAAGGTGTAAACATGATTCTACTTATTCTTCTTTTAAGTTTGTATTATAAATATCAGCATTCTGACAAACTTATTATTGTACGGATTTAAAAAGTGTTACTCTACATCAATAATGTGTTATTTGTTTGATGATATTATATAAGTAACAGAAACGTACTTACATAATTAATTTTCCGTTAAGTTATATGTATATAATATATTTTTAGTATTTATTCATATTAAAAAATAAACATGCCATTTGTCATAGTAAAATTAGTTTTGAATAATCTTCGACGTAGGACTCCGGAAATCTGATTTGAGTCCAACATATAACAACGTGCGGATATAATTTATTTTTATTTAGTTCAACCTATCTCAGTAGCGTCCCTAGACCAATTCATAGAGGGGTGGTGGTGAACTCGATATATTATAAGAATATGCGCATTACACATGGCTTAATATTATAATTATTATTATTATTATTGCGGGACAAAATATGCAATTATATGGGTAGGACAGATAAGTATGAAATAATATACTATTTTCCAACGGCAAAATATATGGCGGATATAGGCTGTGAACCAATTTGTAATAATTTTGAAGACCTGTGGCTCAATATGCGCTACCGTAATATACTACTAAGATGTAAAGATCAATGCTACTATTGCTGATTGAACACGACGCATCATAATAAAGTTTTTATTTCCAAAGTTTGAATTAGATTTACCTCGAGTCTCGTGCACGCATATCATAATATTGGCGAGTCTCCATTTGAATCGGCAAACTACCGAGCAAATGTCGATGGGACGTGCAAAATTTGAGGGCCGAAGGGCGGAGTAGAAGTTTGGCCATTTGGTAGTTTTTTTTTTTTTTTCATTAACATTAATAGTTTTGGGTGCATTTCATGTTTAATGTCGTTTAATATTATATTGTATGCGATGTTTATATGGATTGCATTAAGTGAATTATATATTATAATTATCATCAAAATCGACTCTATAAAATAAGATTTGAAATCTGTTGCTGCATTGATAGGTGTAACTTGGTTTTATTTTCCTCTTAAAATGAAGTTGGTGCACCAGTCATGACTTGCAGAGTCCGTAAAAATTGTGTCGAATTGTGTCACCTTGTATATATCGATCCAGCATTGATTACTGTTTAGTATCGTCGCATACCGACATGTGAATTTAACAAAATGATTTGTAATTTTATTGAAGTTTGCGGATAACATTATATAGTCGAGTTATGCGGCGCCCGGCAATACAACACTTATAATTAGAGGTAGGATTTATATTCTCTTAAAATCCTTAAAATATGATGTTTTTATGTCACATAAAATATTCTCTTAATATCCCTTTAAAATACCAGATAAATGATGGATTTTATGTCTTTAAATGTGCAAAATATTCTTTTAATATTGAAAAAAAATTCATTTTAAATTAATTTTTTATTAATTTGGTTTTAAATATATTTAATTAAATTAATTTTACAATAACAATTAATAACTATATATTGTTCGATGGATGGTCGTAACAGCAAAATAACCGATGCGGTATTGCAATCGATAAGGAATACCTGGAGATTAATTTTTATTAAAACCCAGAAATAAATCATTTAGTGAACATTGTATTTATTCAAGTGCTGATATATGTAAAATATGTTCATTATATGCCGGATATTACAAAAATATTCTCAAATATTCTCTGACGTGTTAAATATTCTCCAACCCCTAAAATATGCTTTTTTATGCAAAATAAATTTTTTCCTGTGAATTCTATGTTTCATGATTCGTAAGGATTTCTCACTCCCATTTAACTGTATGGACTAGAAACAAATATGTAAAATCATACAAATCCGACCTATACTTATAATACACTTATTATATGAAAACGAACCACCATCATCGCGTGGTCGAAATATTCATAAACTTGAATAAAAAAGTATTCTAAGAACTCATCGATGGTTTCGTGGTCTTAGTACTAAATAATTATAATTATGAAGATCCTAGAATCGTGATTTGAAAATTGATAAAATTCGAATAATGTACTTTTAAACATATATTTTTCAATTGACAAATTTTAACACAATGGTTCACCATTATACTAACTTTCCTCGCAGTAAGTGTGAATAATTCAGTTGTTATTATAATATAATAAATAAAAATAATAATAAACGGACTATCTCGGCTCATCATCTATTTCATGGTCTCTCATTTAACGGCGTTTTCCGTTGTCGGCGATTATAATAATATTATAATACACTATCTTTGGACTTCTCATACGGTTTCGCTTTCTATACGACGGTGTGTGTTTTTTGTCTCCACCGCTCTCTGCTTTTGATAAAAAACGAAATGAAGCCCAAAAGGGTTCTATCTCTCATTATCGCCGTCGCGTGTATCCCTCTACCTTCGGCGGCAGCGGTGTGTCCGTTCTGGTCGTCCCTACAGACGTTTTTTAAGTTGGCGCAGTATCCGACGTTATCGGTTATTATATTTTAATATTATTATCATATACACTGCCGCACGTATACACAATAATAATATTATAACGCTTTTATTATTGTTGTTATTATCGTTTTTATTATCTGCGGACCGGTGGCGGAGGCACGGGTACCGGCGGTCGGTTCGGTGACCTAAACGAATAAATAAAAATGAAATAATAAATAATAAAACCAAATAATGTAATAAAATAAACCGCCAAGCCGCCGCCGACGACGTCGGGACTGATAACGCCGCGACGGCGACCGTGGCCGAGCCGCACGACGACGCCCGAACGCACGAGGGTAGCGCGTCTACAACAAGTCGCCGACCGCTCGTACTCGTGGGGGGCCGGGCCAGTCGAACGCCGGGTCGCGCCGACAGTTTGCCGTCGTTTTCGCCGCCCCCGTCAGTGCACGATTTCGTTTAAAAATAATTTCGTCGTGTTCTTCGTGTGCGTATCGCGTCTAAAAAAAATAATTCCAATACAATATATATATTATTATTTACTATTTTTTAATACTCGCGGGATACACGTTGCAAAAAAAAAAAAATGAGTTAGAATAAATTTTTTTGGTTTTTCTTTTTTTTTCTTATTACAAAGTTTTTTTTCTTATTTTGTGTAACCCTTGTATATTATTTTTATACTCTTAAATCGGTTTCTTAATTTATTATTATTATTTTTTTTTTTACTTGTGGTGTCTCTGTGTCTGTCCGTCCTTCCGTCACTGTTTTTTTTTTTATTTATTTTATTTACTGTCATCTAATTGTGTCGCTGACAAGTTGGGATTTTTATTTTATCCATTGGTTTGTGCATCACATTTACTTTTTATGTACATTAAAATATTATGATATCCTGTGGGCTGCGGGGTGCGTGCCCCCTTCAAAGAAAATATTATAGAAAACCACGAAGACAACAACAGGTTGCAAAGTAATTGTAATATCGAATTACTCATTTGAATATTATATACATTTTTCAATGTTGGCTAAATGCTAATGCTTGGTACAAGCACCCCGAAGCTCACTTTGTAGACTAATAATGCCTCTTATGTAGCGTTTTGTCCAAAAATATAATATGTATTCAAAATTCGAGAAAAACGCCGGAAAATAATATTATGTAAAAATACAATTTACGTTCAGTTATATAACATAATATTACATTATTAGTGCGATTTTCCGAGAATCTCAAGTGGAAAATTAAACCCATTTTATTATCCGGCGGTGTTCGAGAATATTATTTTTTAGCAATGTAATCCCATGGGGTACAACAAGAATTTGTATATTTCCCTACCTTTTCTGAGCCTTTTTCACCCCTACAGTTTATCTCGGTGTAAAGCTAAGGAATTCATATACCAGAGATAACAAGGTTGAGGGTGCATGCGATAGTGTTCTCTGTAATATGAAAAAAAAGGTAAATTATGGGGTTAGCAGTAGTAATAGTGAACGTAAAGCAGAGGGTGAAAGAGGTCAAAGGTCAGGAAACATGTTAACTGTGCCTTGAGGACTTCTACGTGCCAAACTCAACATTTTCCCAATTGGTTTAAATATTCAATTTTTTTTTTATCTTCTGGATCATTACATTTTAATTAAAATCACATAGTAAAAATAAATAAAAACTGTCCATTGTCATGGCATTTTAAGTTTCAGCTATTGGGAATCGAAAGAATAAATATCCGTTTAAATTAATAAAAACACGATCCCTCGTCGATGGTGTAGTCTTCATTTAGTATTCATCACTCGTCCTGCCCACCTCTCCGGAAACCATTGCGTTTACCCATCCCTAACTTTCAAATACTGATTAATTTTGCTTCAACAGTAAAAAGAAAAAAAATGCCAATTTGTGTTCAGTTTAATATTATATTCTTTCTCCGGACAGTTTATTTTTTTGTTTTTTGTCGACTTTGTTATGCCAGCAAAACCCTACAAATCCCTAGTGTTATGTGCCTTCGTCATTGTCATCGTACGGTTTCTATAACACTTGTTGAGGCTTCCACCACTGTTTGTTCCACAAGCGAATTTAATATTTGCCAGAAACAATTGGATTGCTATTTGTTCCAATAATCATCTTCTCTTTTTATTATTACTTTATTGAAAATGTCAAAAAAGAAACGATTGCCTCTTCAAACGAAGCGTATATAATGTGTCCTCGTAACAGTATTTTATTTTATAAATTCAACATTATATTATTGTTCAACCATAATATTACATTTTCATTTTACAATATCTTTTACTTAACTTTTTAATAAATAAGCTATTTATTAAAAAAAAGTGATTGTATTTGATGAACATTTTTCAATTTTAAAATACTGTTTCCATATTATTATGTCATAGTTTTATTTTGTCACATGGTGTTTCGTTGAAAAAAAAATAAGGATTTTAAAATTAAAAGATTTAATTTTGATGACAGCATAAAAATATTCTAAATCATTTTTACATGCGTTCATTTGTCTATAAAATTCTTTGTATCCGTTTTAATTTTAAAGTATTAATTTTAAACTTAAAAAGTACCCTACTTAAAACGGTTTTTGTTGAGTCAGTATAAAAATGTAATTTTACTTCTGCTTTTTTTCAAGGAGGTCTTCCAACCCCTCTTTGGATAATTGTTTCGAGGTAAAGCTCCAAACTTGTATTATACTAAAATACTTGTTTGACTGTACTTGAGAGTAGAACCTATTTTAATGGTTCATCGTAAGTGCACATTTTTGACCTCGAATACACAATAGATACAATTATTTAAATTTTAAAGAGACAGCGTATACGTCATATAGACAAACACGTCCAAGATACAAACCGTCATAAACCTTTTAAGTACAAAGTTGTATTTAGTGACCATTTTCTTTCAAAAATGTTATTCAGAACGTTTCCGGTATACGTGTCACCACTAGTATAATAGTTATGTACAATAAACGTGCATTTAATCGTTTTATAAATATCACTTATGAAAATTATAAAATCTTAAAATCCGTGAGAGCATTATATCATGATTAACGTGACTGTATTTACACACAAAAACGCACACACGCACGAGACCCACACATACTATGCACATTCACGCACACACCTCGTGCACACAATCATACATACAATCGTACACACAGTCGTACACACAATCGATTACTATTGTCTTTGTGTGACGAACAAAGTGCCGTATCTGTGATTAGGTATATATTACGTTGTCCCATAGGAAATTTCGTCTTTTTCCTTCTCACCCGACTATAATATTTTCCCCCGACCGCGTACTGTTCATTTTTGTTTGCTCAGTATTAATCACTGGGTTCAGCGGGCCGCTGGCACACCCAAGATAAAGAGAACCAAATCAAATAAACCGTCGAAACGCTGACAGTATAATACAATATTCCTTGTAACAACGACGACACTTGAACGTCAAATACACTATTACGGCACACCGCGTACCCATCGTAAGACTAATGTTTGCCCGCCAACAATATTTTAATAACAACTCAACAGAGTTCACCCGTGGGTTAACCGATTCAGACAGGTGTTTGAAAAAAAAATTCCGGTGAAAATTCCGGTGTACGTTTTGTTGCTCGTTACAAATTATTGTTATTATTGCTGTGATACCTACCGTTTTCCCCATTGTTATTATGAGGTTATTCGAAATGTCTATAGGTACCTAAATGATATTATGGATACCCGCGACGGTGGACATATTATTATTATTGTTGTCGTCATAGAGATGAAGTGGGTGTATATAGTATATCGCTTACTTTATCACCGAAGACAATAATTTACGCGTTCATTTCTTAACCTTATATATATTCCGATATTATTCTTTGGGACCGTAAACATTTAAAGTTTACGCAAGCAAAAAATAATAGCTGCAATAAAGCGATTTCGGCGGAGGATAAAAACGGCCGTCCGCTTTATTACTGTTTGCGAAAGCTGTATAGCTACATGTATATTGTACACGAGTATAATATATACATAATAATATCGTGTACAACTGAACTGTAATTTTATAATAATAAATAAACATATATTTATATATATGTATACACAATAATATTATTGTACAATAACAGTATATTTCGAACGCGTCAAATAATAATAATATAAAATTCGTTATTATTGAAACGCAACACACAACTCACTCGATACGATACTCGTATATTTATATAAATATAAAAAAATATATATATTATTTAGGTACGTATAATATATTTGTAATATACGCGAACAAAATTTCGATTTCGCGAATAATAATAAATCGGCGACGTGACATTATTGCGGCAGCCGTCGTAATATAGCGGTTACATATTATTATTATATCATATTATTATGTTCATGTGCCGCGTTGATATTTTTTATTCTACGACCGCGAAATGTTAACTATTTCACCGAGAAAAACAATCGGCGTTCTGTTTTTTACAATAACAACCATTCGATCGAAGCGGGAAATTATTCAGTCTGCACGAGCGTATGTTATACAGGCCACGTATTCGAAGGACTTTTCCATGTTGCCCAGCAAATAAGTAGGACGATGCTTTTACGTTAATGCGCGGACAAGGTGGTATAGGGGTGATTTTTTAAACCGTCGGACAATCTTATATTTTCAAATAGTCATATTGGAACTATTGAAATGTTGATAGAATACCTCTACATTTTAATATTGTTATTATTTTACTTGCCATATGCCAAGGGTGTTCGTTGAATCGACGGAGAGCACTTGTGGTATTTTTCAGTGCCTCAATTGTACACATAATGGGATTTTAAGTATAATAATATAATATGATATCTTATCCGTCCTGACTAGTCCGGCCTCGGCCTTTGAATATCCATATGTGGTATGAGTACTTCACTATCGCGGTATATGAAACGCGGTAGGCAAATGAAGAGTAGTGGTGGTGGAGTTTGTACGAGGGTTTTTTTTGGCTTTCACCATATTCTTCGTGACGGGCGAAGGGTCGAGGTGGAACGGATGGCTTAGGGGCGGGTTCGACGACCCGACTTTTACGAAAATTTGCTTGCGGCCCATCGACGAGTTGTCTGCGTATACGTTTTTGTCGAACGCTGACGTGGTGAGGCGGAGGTGGGGTGCGCGTGCGAGGTATATACGTACACGGTGATGTTTGCTCGTCATCAATCATTAGTGCGGATAACTGGGCGGGGTGCTCGCCGTCGCCGTTGTCGTCGTCAAATTACATTGACTCCTAATCCCTCTTTACCGCTACGCTGCTACCACCGCTATCGCTGCTTCGACTGCCGCCGACACCACTAATACCGCCGCTACCACTGTATACCGTAGCAGCGGTTCAGTATTCCGTATCTATAGTCTTCCAGGCACTTTCATTTGGCACGTCAATCATGCGCAAAACAAAAGTTCTCCGAACAAAGTCAACCCACCTCCGCCGCCGATCGACACCACCCCACCCCCTCGTCGTAACCCACCCGTCGAGTCGTTTGACTTGCGGTGTATATTATATTCCGACGCGTACGTGTACATTCAATTTCGATATTATAACCATCGAGGGATATTATTCGGGCGTGTACGATAAGCCAGTTTTGACACGTTGCGCGCGCACACACACACACAAAC